GGGGGGGGGGGGGGGGAGTGCCTGATTTTGAAGGTACGTCCACTTCGCATGTTCGTAATTTTGGCGAAGGGACAAGCTCAACAGCCAGAGAAGAATCCAATTATGATTTCATTCCTGATGAAGACGATTTCACAGATGATACATCAGAAACGAAATCGGATAGATCAATAAGCGAGGAGAGTGAACCAGAGTTTATGTAAAAGCACCCATTTCCTAGTACCGGACAACACGTGTATCGCGAGATGGGTGAGTGGGACCCGTCGTGTGTAGACCGGGATGAGCATGCTCTCCCTCGTTGGAATGGAAATATCGATACTATCCGTTTGGGTACTGTTTTCCGGTCCAAAGAAGAAGCACAGATTGCTATAATGAATTGGAACGTGAGTAGATTGAGGGAGGTTAGGTCAAAATATTCGAATAAAGAAATCATTCAAGGTGGTGTGCAAATCCGAAGAAGCTCAGCCTTGTCCGTGGAAGGCTCGGGTGATGCACTGCACACGGGTTCATGAACTGTGGGAAGTAACGGAATGGACCGAGAGGCATAGTTGTATGCAAGAAGTCGACAAAAATGACCACAGAAATGTAACCGCCACAATGATTTCCAATCTTATCATGACCAAGATTCAAAAGAAACCGGAGTACAGTGTTACCCTGATCCAGGAGGATGTAAAAAAATGTTGGAAAGTCGATGTGAGCTATAAGAAGGCGTGGCACGGGAGAAAAAAAGCCATCGACAGTTTGTATGGCACTTGGGAAGAGAACTTCGCACAACTCCCTCAGTAAGAAAAAATTTATTAAAAATGTACGTGTTATTTGTCTCACTATGTTTATGTATTGACGATTACGTTTTATAACGTGTAGGTTTTTTGCGGCGCTTCAAAGAGCGAATCCCACTACAGTTGTACAGTGGGAATGGCAGGGTGGGGATATGACGGCACACTATGAGCACAGAGAATTCAAGTTTGTTTTTTGGGCTTTTGGTCCCGCCATTCAGACCTTCCAGAGATGCCCGCCGGTAATTAGCATGGACGGCACGCATTTGCGTGGCTCGTACAAGGGGAAGTTGCTTGTGGTCGTTGCACAGACTGCAAATAAGCGGTTACAGCCAATCGCGTATGCGATTGTGGATGAAGAGAGCAGGGAAAGCTGGTCATTTTTCTTGACCAATCTACGACAACATGTTGTCGGCGACAGACAGATATGCTTTCTTTCGGACAGGGATGCTGGCTTACAGAGTGCCGTGGATTCATTGGCGGCTTGGCAAGAACCCGCTACATATCACCGCATCTGTCTTCGACACCTTCGGAGCAACGTTGTTACTAGGTACAGGAATAGCAAAATCTGAAATTGGTGTTGGGAGTTGGGTTCAGAGCTCTCACAGGGAAAATTTGAAAAGATACGAGAGCGGCTTTCGGATTTTAGAACATATATTATATGACATAATATAATATAATATATTATATTATATAATATAATATATGTTCTAAACCCTGAACCTAAACCCTAAACCCTAACCCTATACCCTAAACCCTATAATATAACATATGTTATATTAGAACATATATTATATTATATGATATATGTTATATATAACAACATATGTTATATTATTATATTATAACATATGTTATATTAGAACATATATTATATTATATGATATATGTTATATATAACATATGTTATATTATAACATATAGTAGATAATATAACATAGTATTATAATATAATATAACATATGTTATATTATATTATAACATATAATATAATATTATAATATAATATAATATAACATATGTTATATTATATTATATTATAACATATGTTATATTTTTATAATATAACATATGTTATATTTTTAACATATGTTATAACATATGTTATATTAGAACATATATTATATTATATGATATATGTTATAATATAGTAGATGTTATATTATTACATCACATATAGTAGATGTTATATTATATACTATATACTATATATTACTCCCTCCTATTCAAAATAAATGTCGTTTTGAGAAGTTGCACAATAATTAAGAATATTTTTGTTGTCAGTAATAACCCTATTTAATGAAGACAGAGATGAATGTTTTGAGAAAAAATGAAGAGGGAATATGGAAAGATGTAGTGTATTTATTGACTAAATGAGGGTAATAATGAAAAAAAAACATGTACAAAAGATCTAAAACGATATTTATTTGGTTAATAGTTGATAAAGCCAAAATGACATTTAAAAAGAATAGGAGGTAGTATATAGTATAACATAGTATATAGTAATGTAATATAGTATAACATATAGTATATAATATATTGCAATTTATAATACATGTATATGTATATAATTTGCGCAAAAATAAACGCAAGGTGCCTGGCGGCATAATAGTACGAGGTGCGCCCAGAGAAATCGGACTCACCCACTGACCCGGGTTCGAGTCCCCAATCTGGGATCCTCATATATCTTTTCTTTTTTTTACAAACCGTATTCCTTAAATACGGTTTACAATTAAATCTTTTATAAACCGTATTCATCGAATACGTTTGTCTTATAAATATTAAAAAAAAAATTCCTTCTTATTTCTCCTTACGCGAACAAACCGAAACAGAGAGCAGGAGAAGAGAGAGCAGAGAAGAGAAAGAACTTCGGCCGAAAAAAAAAAGAGCACCGCCGCGCGCCGCCGTATCACTGCCGCCGTACCGCATATCGTCGCCGTCTTCTTACCGTCAATAAGGTACATTTGTTCAATTATGACATCAATTTTTACCAAGTTTTACCAATTTTCGAATTAGAGCGCTTATTGAATATTGAATACCTTGTTTGATGGAAATGACATATGATGATGGAATTGTTCAATATGTTGCTATGTTAAATTGTTGGGTTATTTGGAATGTGATTAGGTTGTGTACTTTGTTTGAGAATATATGATTTCAAGGTGTTTGATAAAATGTTTCAAAGGAGTTCTTTAGTTTTGAGCTTATTTGTTTGTGTTATTGGCTTTGTTGTTACATATTCGTGAATTAGTGATGATTGTGATGGGGTGAAGAGTTATTGAAGGTGGATATGTGAATTTTTAATATGTTAAATTGTTGTTTTAATTTTAGGGAAAAGGGTTTAAGTTTGAAATTATAATATTGTTGAAAATGTGAAATTGTGAACTATTGTGTGAACTATTGTGTGAACTTCAATTTTTTGGAATTACGACTCCAATTAGAACTTCGAATTGTGAAGTGTTTTTGTTAATGTTATTAGTATCTATTGTTCTTGATCAATATTACATAATAAATAACTTTAATCATAATCTATTTTTTTCCTATTGTTTGTAGATAAATGGCTTCATCGTCATCCTCATAGCCTCAGCAGTACAGTGTGTATCCCGGTCCGAGGGATGAGAGCCTTCTATATCTCCAGTACAAACATCGGGCACAAGCGGTATTTTTAAATGTGCCGGGAGCTCGTGACACGACGCTCACAAACCGTCGTTTCGACACTCAGTTCTGGAAGGCAGTGCCAAAGCAGACACAGTCGGTTTGGAGGGCCATCGACCGGACTGGTTTCGGCCCCATGTTTCGAATGGGTCGAGTCCAAGCCGACAACGCCCTCCTCACTGCTCTCGTGGAGATGTGGCGCCCAGAGACGAATATTTCGATTTCGGCGAGGCCACCATCACGCTCCAGGACGTACAAGTCCTATTCGGTCTGCCAATCAATGGAGCTGTTGTTTTGGGAGTGACTGTAGAGCTATCACCCTTACAATGGCGAGAGAAGTGCAAGGACTTGCTAGGGTTTGAGCCCTACGTTCAGCTATATTTTTTCATAATTTTTTTTAAATATATGTCAACTCAATTTATCATTTTTAATATGTAAAAACCACTCTCAGGATCCTCCCACCACCGAGGCAGAGCAATCAGCACAGGACCCTAGCAAGTGGGAAATTACTGGCCAGTGGTTGAATATTGGGCCTTTGGAGCGCTCTTGCAACACTGAGTTTCAAGAAGGACAACCGGATATCGTGTATGAGCAGAGGGCGAGGGCCCTTATCTTGTGGTGCATTGGGTCATTCATCTTCCCCGACCAGCGGGCGGATGGCGTCCCACTTTACTGGCTCCAGCTGCTAGAGGACTTCGATGGTATTCAGGGGTACAGCTGGGGTTCAGCGCTCATGGCCGGAGTATACAGAGCGTTGGCGACCTCGTACAAGGCCAAAGAGAAGTGGTTGAAGAACTGCGTTCAATTGATCCAGGTAAATTTATTTAATTATTATTTGAAAATTTAATATTTTATTTTTCTTACTTCGACTAATACCTAATAACAAAATTAATGTCCACTTGTGTAGGTTTGGGCATGTGAGCAGATCCCTCGTATTCGCCCAACGATGAAGAAAAGAAGTTTGTTTGATTCTCTGCCTGATTGTCCATTGGAAGGGAGGTAATCACTTTTATTTTAATTTAATCCGTACATTATTTTTATTATCAAATTTTATGATTACAAACTTTTTTTTTCTGTGATTTTTAAGGTGGGTGGGACCGAGATCTAAGTCAAACATAGCCACTACATTGGCCGCCTACCGGGATCAGCTTACAGGGCTGAGAGAGAATGAGGTAATGTTTTTACCGTTCTTATTTTCCTGTGATTTATCTTTGTTTTTTTTTTTGTTTGTAATTTTGTAATAACTTAATTACTAATCCAATTGTTGTTTTTTTTATTACAGTTCGATTGACAGCCCTATCAAAACGTCCTGAACAATGGTTCTCTGCCGGATGCGTGCACACACGATCGACAATATTGGACGTACCGGGGGTGGATCTTCAGTTGGAGCACCCGGGAGGTACACATGCCTGATAGGGTCCTCCGGCAATTTGGGTGTCGCCAATCCATCCCTCAAGATCCGATCATTCGAGATGATCGAGAGTGGGACGCACACCACAGAGGGCAGGGGATGACTGGGAGGGCATTTTATGATTGGCCCACATTCCATGGACCTATTCTGACCTCGTGGACTGATGATAGAGCCAATCATC